GAGTAGAAATAGGCTTAGTCTTACTTTTCTGACAACGCAGCGCAACATAATTTATAGGAGATCCGGAAAATTGCGTAAATGAGTCTAAACTCGAGTAAATTAAAGTGATTCGCCTCTCGATTGAACACTTCATTTTACGCATGCAAAAGTGAGACCTGACTAATGTTGGAATTTGTTACCATTTCCGCTTGCTTTCATATGAAATTCCCGTGCTGATAAAGACAAAAAACAATACGTTTGGCCACTGATACGTACAATCTAGTAACGCAGAAAAGACGTCTAAACATAACAAAAACAATAGCAACGTTTCAAAGCTTGTTTGTTGGCATAACGTAGCGCCCTTGCTACGTCAGTAAAGCTCAGTAACGTTATCTGGCGTTCCATTGATAGGTAAATAATATAATAATAATAATAATAATAATAATAATAATAATAATAATAATAACAATAACAATAAATATTTATATAGCGCTTATCCACGCCTGCTCTAGACGCTGTAAATAAACGAAAGTTGAATTTGTGTAGAGACTTGCATTGGGCGGCCAAACGGATACGCAAGTTTCCCAGTATGTTTCCTCTGCGGGCTTAGTCCCGCACGGCCAATATCCTGTATTTCGGCATTCGCTAATTGATTGCTACCACAACAAATGGACGTCATTCAACTTCTGTTGATTTGGACTGGGTGGCCAAACTTTAAAAACTTGCATCAACTTGCGTTCAAATTTGATCTAGACCAAAGTGAGCACAAGTCAACGCAAGTGCATGCACTGCTTGGCCAAACAGCTTTAGGGAGAACATCGGTAACTAAATACAGCTGTACATAAATACTCTTTTTCTTTGGACATCGTAGCTTGATAAGAAATAACACGCAAACTGCGGTGATAAACATGGCAATAACACGCATGTTAAAAAAAAAAATTCATTTTCGTATGTTTCAACACACATCTTTAGAAGTGACCGTTAGGAATAGAAGTAACAACTAAATTTCAATTTAAAATAAGTAACTAATTATCAATTACAATGACAGAAGCTGAGAAAAATTTGCATATAAACAATACCCACAGGGTATCCATTTTGTAACAACAACTTCCTCAGTTCATTCAAACAAGAGCGCAAAAGAGAAGGTGACGA